CAGCCAGTTGTCTTGAGTACCTGGTAGAGGCCAAACAGATTATGGCCCATATGCTGCAGGAAGCCGGTGAAGGTGCGGTACCTCAGCAGGGAGCTGTTCCTCCAGTTGTGCAGGGGGCTATTGTTGGGCACATGCCAGATCCCCAGATTCTCAGCCTGGATGTCGAAGTAACCGGGGTTCTGGAAAGCAACCAACACTGAGCCTGACCAGAGCAGGAGAGTTCACTGAGCAGAAGGCCCATATGCACAGTGTTCAGCAGAGCTGACCTCTCTGGGCTCTAGCCATGCTCAGATACTCCCAGCTCCAAGGATAATGGTCCCACTGCCAGCACCTACTTGCCTATGAGCCTAGATGGGTGAGTTTGGGATTCAGGATCAGTATTTTTCACTTCTTCGGCCCTATGTCAAGGGGCAGCCTTCCAGCCCTCTCCCTGGCATGTTTGAGCCACACTTACATCCTCACACTTTCCCAGAGTGGACCACAGAGCCCACCAACCTTGTAGTCATCACTTGTGGCGCCCTCTGCAGACCCAAAGGTGTTGTAGTTGGCCCAGTTGCCATCCCCCTCTGGGTAATCCACTCTGTTGCCTTGCTGACTGGACCAGCGATCGCCCACTGTGCACTTTCCATACATATTGTTCTCGTGCACACTAGCCACCAGGGTCCAGCCACCACTTGCAGTGGTCATGTCACAGAAGGTCTGGTAGATGACACCGTTCTCCGTGCGCAGGAAATAGAGGCCATCTGTGGAGAGAACCAGTCCACAGTCCTCCTGGGTACAGGCTCATTGTCCATCTCAGCTCCAGAAGCAGAATAGCTCTAGGAACTACAAACATGACTAATGCCTCATACCCTGGGTGTCCTACCACATGTGTCCCTGGAAATACAGGGACCCACCTGAGTTCAGAAAGCCATGTTTCTGTGACTGAGGAAGAACACAGAATTACCCAAACTGACAGTGATGTTTCTCCTAAAGTTAAACATAGTATTATCAAAGGACTTAGCAATTGCACTCGGTATATACAAAGAACTGGGAACAGGGACTCAGATATGTATTCATGTTCATTACAGCTCTGGTTACAAGACCTGAATGGAAAAAACAACTGAAGGACTTCTCTCTATTAAAAAAAGAAGGACTAAACAGTCTACTGTGCTATATATTATACACAATAAATACTGCGTACATTTCTATATATCCGATAGATCAAGAAGAATGGAGTGGATTAGAGAAATGGTCAGTGGTTACTGCTCCAGCAGAGGCCTTTGTGTTAGCTCCCCTGCAGTCACACTCGGCAGTCAGTGTACAAGCACCTGTTCCTCCAGCTCCAGATGACTAAATACCCTCTTCAGGACTCTGCAGGTACCTAAACATACATGTACACATTCCCGTCCACAGATGTGTAAATAATAATAATAACTCTTTACATAGATTAAGTGTTCTACTACATGTATGAGCCTTGAAGCATACTGATGAAATAAGACAGACTACTCAAATGAGGTAACAAGAATAGACAGACTCATAGACATAGGAAACAGAACCCAGTTCCCAGGGAATACAGAAAAGTATTGCTTGGTGTCTACAGAGTTACTATTTAAGGGAACAAAAGTGTTCTGGAAATGGACAGCAGTAATCTATACCATTGTGAAGGTTGGTTTTGCCTCTGAAAACCCTTTTAACTGGCTAAGTGGCAATTTTTATCCACTATGTATATTTTATATTTCCTATATTTAAAAAATAAAGGTAAAAAATAATAATAAAGGCTAGGGCTGGAAAGATGGTTCAGAGGTTAAGAGCACTGGCTGTTCTCCTAGAGGTCCTGAGATCAATTCTTACAACCACATGGTGGCCAAAACCATCTGGTTCCCTCTTCTGGCATGCAGGCATAGGTGCAGAACACTGCATGCAGGATGGATGGATAGATAGATAGATAGATAGATAGATAGATAGATAGATAGATAGATAAAAATAAAGACTGTCCCAGAGGACAAAAGCCTGGTTTCCTGGGTTTTTGTTTGCATTTTTGAGTTAGGGTCTCCCCAGGCTGGCTTGGAGCTTACAATCAATCCTCTGCCCTCGACTCCCAAGTGCTGGGATCCCAGTATGCTCTAAAATCCCTCACTCACCTTGTGCCTTTGTGTCCTCCTGCTTGATTTCCTTGCAGCTTCTGAACAGAGAGGAAAAGAAAGGATGGGTCCATCTGTTGGTGTTCAGGTTCTCTTTGGCTAGGGAAGATGCAGAAGTTCACTGTTACGTAACACCCAGCCTCCCCTTGTCATTCATCCTAATCTGACACCTGAGAGCTTCACTCTGAGAATCTACAAGGAGGAAAGACAAGAGGTTTGACAACAGGGGGAGCACTATGTCCAAAGTCCTGAGGGGGGCACTGTGTCCAAAGTCCTGAGGGGAGCACTGTGTCCAATGTCCTGAGGGGAGCACTATATCTAAAGTCCTGAGGGGAGCACTGTGTCCAAAGTCCTGAGGGGAGCACTGTGTCCAAAGTCCTGAGGGGAGCACTGTGTTCAATGTCCTGAGTAAAGAGAAGTCCAGCTTTGCAGTTAGAAGAAATGCAGCTAGCCTAATAAGACCTAAAACATGGGTACGGAGGTCAGCAGTGCAGAGACTTAACCAAGAGACCAAATGGGGAGCTTTGCAAATTAGCCTCAACTCTGCAAAGTCCTAGAAGTACAGAAACAGACTAGGGTCAGAAGTACTCTGGTGTAAAGCTCCATGTTCACAAGTCAAGTCCTTCTTGATTGTATTCACCATATTCCCTAACATCAAGCTGAAAAGCACTATCCTGTGTAGATCAAGACAGCAGTTGAGGACTTGCCTTTTTCCTTAAAAATAAAAAAAAAAACAAGCAGAAAAGAGGAATTATACATTTTTAAAATACCATTGAGTTCTTGTAGAGAGTTAGACTGAAGAAAATATTGTCTGGGCACAAACCAGACCATGCTTTTGGCATTGAAACCCTAAACCCAAGGTCCTAAGCTTGAGGAGTGGCTGGGTCAGGACACAGTTCTTACAGAGGTTTCCTTAGGGCCACAGACAGGCACAGAATCTGGACCAGGACTTGCCTCAGAATCCCACTGCCACAGGCCAATTTCCTCAAGAGGCTCTAAGCACCCAGCCTACATCTCAAAGGCATCATCTCAGTGGCGGTGGACTAGGTAGTATTTATATGGTCAGAAATATGTATTATATATCCACAATTAAGGAAAAGAGGCACTTACTTTGGTAGAGAGCAGGGGTGGGGCATAGTTGGGAAGTGTTGGAAGGAAAGAGGAAAATGAGTGGAAAAATAATACAATCATTTTTAGTTTCAAAACATTTTTTAAGCCGGGCCGTGGTGGCGCACGCCTTTAATCCCAGCACTTGGGAGGCAGAGACAGGAGGATTTCTGAGTTCAAGGCCAGCCTGGTCTACAGTTCCAGGACAGCCAGGGCTACACAGAGAAACCCTGTCTCAAAAAAATGAATAAATAAATAAATAAATAAATAAATAAATAAATAAATAAAAACATTTTTTACAAAGCCATGATCGCCTTTCCTTTCAGCGGCTCTCAGCGGCAAGATGACGGTACAGATTTCCAAGAAGAGGAAGTCTGTAGCTGATGGCATCTTCAAAGCTGAACTGAATGAGTTTCTCACTCGGGAGCTGGCTGAAGATGGCTACTCTGGAGTTGAAGTCCGAGTTACACCGACCAGAACAGAAATCATTATTTTAGCCACCAGAACACAGAATGTTCTTGGGGAGAAGGGTCGTCGGATCAGAGAGTTGACTGCAGTTGTCCAGAAGCGGTTTGGCTTCCCTGAAGGCAGCGTAGAGCTTTATGCAGAGAAAGTGGCCACAAGAGGCCTGTGTGCCATTGCCCAGGCAGAGTCTCTGCGCTACAAACTCCTGGGAGGGCTTGCGGTTCGAAGGGCCTGCTATGGTATGCTTCGGTTCATTATGGAGAGCGGGGCCAAGGGCTGCGAGGTTGTGGTGTCTGGGAAGCTCCGAGGGCAGAGGGCCAAGTCCATGAAGTTTGTGGATGGTCTGATGATTCACAGTGGAGACCCTGTTAACTACTATGTTGACACTGCTGTGCACCACGAGCTCCTCAGACAGGGTGTGTTGGGCATCAAAGTGAAGATCATGCTGCCCTGGGACCCAAGTGGTAAGATTGGTCCCAAGAAGCCTCTACCTGACCCTGTGAGCATTGTGGAACTTAAAGATGAAATCTTACCCACGACCTCCATCTCAGAACAGAAGGGTGGGAAGCCAGAGCCACCTGCCATGCCCCAGCCAGTGCCTACAGCATAACAGGGTCGTGGCAGCTGCATCTGGAGGCTGGATGTTATCTTGTAAAGACATTTAATAAAATCTTGAACAAAGACACAAGGCCTGACTGGATTGTGTCCAGTGTTCAAACTGAAAAAAATAAAATAAAATAAAAATAAAAAGCCATGATCAGCCAATCTACAATGGTGGGTGTCTTTAATCCCAACACTCAGGAGGCAGAGGCAGGCAGATCTCTGGATTTGAAGCCAGCCTGCACAGAGCGAGTACTAGAACAGCCAGGGCTACACAGAGAAATCCTATTATGGAGGATCATGATCTCTGGCCCTCAGAGACCCAGATCCTGGGAGCAACCCAGTCTTGTGCTGTTTGCCTTTAAAGCTAGAGGTGGCTAGAAGAAACTGGGTTCCTGTAGCAAGACTCACCTGCACTGCACCCTCTGGTGGCAACGATGATAAACAGCAGGAAGCCTGTTTGGGTCATGGTCATCTAGAGAATAGCAAGATGAAGGTCACGTTTTTATCCTGACCTTCTTTTCCTCTTATCCCTGTCTCAGTTCCTAGCTAGTCCTCAACTACTCAAAGGCCCCTTTCTGGTTTTTAACTCAGCACCTTCTGGCTTTAATTGTAACCTGAACCAAAATCCTTCCCCGCTATTCCACACACAGCAATCACTTTCCCGCTGTACCTTGCAGAAGCTGAGAGTTGCTAGCTGAGTAACAACAGGAACCCTTCTCTGCTGAGGTCCCTGCATGTGTGAGACTTTGTTCCTTTTATGGGGAAAGCCTAGTGAGGCACAAGCTTTCCTTCTGGCAAGATGCCCTGTGTAAATACAGCATCTGCTTATTACAGGGTAATTCTGAGATTAGTGGACTCTAAAAGACAAATATTCAGTGTGGTCTATTTGTATTGTTCCATATTCCAAGAAGTGGTGTTGGGTGTTGGTTTTCAGTTTGTATCTTTTCTGTAAACTGTATATTTCTTTTTTTAAAAAAAAAATCCTAACATCTACCACAATCATCATTCATAGGAAAAGGAAATTTTTGCCAGGGCTGGTGGTGGTGGTGTCAGTGGTGGTGGTGATGATGGTGGTTGTGGTGTTAGAGGTTTTTGAGACTAGGTCTCATGTAACCCCCTCTGTTGGGGGTCATGCAAGAGGAACAGCAAAACGACTTTAGGGCTCATGGAATTCAGCCTGTTAGCACAATCAGAATGGGTGAGTCTCAGAGAGGCAGAGCCCTGAGGACTGCGTGTCCTGAGGACTTCATGCTCTTGTGGAGTTTTGCTCTGCTTGTGGCCCTGGCAGGCACCATGTCCTTTTTAATGTATGAGTTGTATGACAACTCTAAGGTGGTTTCTAGCCCCCCACTAGTGTCATTGGCACTTACAAGAACAGTGATTGATCTTTAAGCATTGCTGCTGGAGCAGATTATGGTTCAACCACCACACCTAGAAAGAATTTAGACATGCAGATTGCTAATAAAGTTAGGGCAAGATGATTTTGTCGGTGGCCTTGACATAGAAAATCTTGGGGAATAATTTAAAGTTCAGAAAGGAACACTCTAGATAACTGACCAAGGGATTTTTTTAGGGGGGCAGGGAATAAGAACACTGGTGGAAGCCCAGCTAGTACCAACTGGCAGGCCTTCCTTGGTGAGGCTGGGCTGGTGTTCAAGGTGATGGTTAATTTCTTCTTCTTTTTTTTAATGTTATTTATTTTATTTATATGAGTACGCTGTAGCTGTCTTCAGACACACCAGAAGAGGGCATCAGATCTTATTACAGATGGTTGTGAGCCACCATGTGGTTGCTGGGAATTGAACTCAGGACCTCTGGAAGAGCAGTCAGTGCTCTTAGCCACTGAGCCATCTCTCCAGCCCCGATGGTTAATTTCTTGTACCCATTCTTTCCCTCAGCTTGCTGAAATGATTTTTTAAAAAATTGTTGGTGAGTGGAGGTACACTCTGAGGTTTATAATAGAAATGTCTGATTTTTTTATATAAAAGTTTAGATTTGTGATTCCCTTAAGATTTTCTATAAGATTGCTTTTTATGATAAATAATAAAATGATTGATCCCTAATTGTAACTGCAAATTGTAGCCTGCCAGTAAGAGAAACTGAATGAGAAAAAATATCTTGCTTGCTTACACTTTGTTTTTTTTTTTTTTTTTTTTTTTTTTTTTTTTTTTTTTGGTTTTTCGAGACAGGGTTTCTCTGTGTAGCCCTGGCTGTCCTGGAACTCACGCTGTAGACCAGGCTAGCCTCGAACTCTCGAACTCAGAAATCCGCCTGCCTCTGCCTCCCAAGTGCTGGGATTAAAGGCGTGCGCCACCACCGCCCGGCTATGCTTACACTTTGTTAATCTACAAGTTTCTTAAATATTTTTGTATATGGGTTCTTGGGAATTATTTATCTTTTACTTATATTACATAAAACATTTAATCATGTAAAGGTATTAGAGAACATGATCATTTACACAAGGTAAGTCTTCGTTTAATGAACAATAGAATGTAACTGTATGTGAGTTTGAGCCAGGATAGGCTGTCAAAGCCAGCTTCAACTGGTAAACTGAGGAGTGTGCAGTCATTGTAATGTTTGTACTGCCTGGAAGATAGTGCTGGCACATATAAGCTGTGGGAGCTGTTGTTAGAGCTTGTGGAACCTCACTTCATCCACCAAGTGTGTGTGTGTGTGTGTGTGTGTGTGTGTGTGTGTGTGTGTGTAAGAGAGAGAGTGTGTATGTGTGTGAGAGAGTGTGTGTATGTATGAGAGTGTGTTTGTGTCTATATGTGTGTATGAGTGTATGTGTGTGTATGAGAGGGTGTGTGTGAGAGAGAGGGTGTGTGTGTATGAGAGTGTGTGTATGAAAGAGTCTTACATAGACCTTGTCTCTAAAAAAAAAAAAAATGCATATGCACACAAAGAAAATATAGACTACTTTTAGTACTTTTTTATTGATTCCTAGATATATTTTGTGATATTTGACACATTTAGTATTATACATTCTTACTGGTACATAAATCCTAGAATAACCTACAACTAATTAGACCTAAGAGTCTCTGAAAGTCTAGACTATTTGAAAGATATCACCTTTCATGACCAACAGCAGCCAGTGAGTCTCTGTGCCCCAGATTCTACCTCCCATGTTCTGCATCTGTTCCTCATACCACCGCATCCAAATCTCACTGTCCTTGATTCTAGTTTTGTCCAGATCTGGATTCTTTAGAAGCGTTATCTCAAACTGGCTTAGACAAAAAAAGAGTGAATCTCTCACTTGATGAAATAATTATTCTAAAAGGAGAGAAGGCATCAGGCTTACTGGATGTAGCAGCCTGTCCACGTCTTTGAGTCCACGGCTCATTTAGTCTCTCCTACCCTGACTTTATCCTATTACTGAACTCAAAATGGTTGGCTTTTACTCTTCCAGGCATTACTGCAAGACAATGGATTCAAATGGCTCATTCTTCCTGTGACTTTTAAACCAGAGACCTCCGGCGTGCCAGAAATGAAAGACTTACTGCACTACTGCAATGGTGCTTCTCAGGGAACTGTCTGACTAAGTGGCCTAAACACTGTGGATCTATTTTCCTACAGTTCTGGAGAACTGGAATCCAAGATAAATGTGCCAGCAAGCCTTCCCAACTCCAAGGCCTCTCTGCCTAGCTTGTACAGAGGCACCTTCCCACTGTGTCTCCTCATGGTCTCCTCTGTCCACTGTGTCTCCTCATGGTCTCCTCTGTGTGCGGCTATCCCCAACGTGTCTTCTTATGCTCAGATTTCCTCTGCTATAAAACATACCAGCCGGGGCTAGTGAGATGGCTCAGTGGTTAAGAGCACTGACTGCTCTTCTTGAGGTCATGAGTTCAAATCCCAGCTACCACATGGTGGCTCACAACCATCCGTAATGAGATCTGATGCCTGAAGACAGTTACAGTGTACTTACATATAATAAATAAATAAAAATCTTTAAAAAAAAAAACATACCAGCCAAGAGCCAGCAAGACAGCCTAGCATATAAAGATACTTGCCACCAACCTTGACAACCGAAGTTCAATTCCAGTGATCCTTATGTTAGAGACAGAAACCTGACTCACACAAGTTGTCCTCTGACTTCCCCAGGCGTGCCATGGTACATGAATACATACACCCATATGTGTACATACACACACATAGAAAAAATAAACACATAAATAATATATACAATATATATGAAAAGTTTATTTATACACACATACATATCAAGAATACTGGACCAAGACCCATCTTACTTGCCTAATTTATTCACCTTATTTAAAAAAAAAACTTTATCTAAATATAATCACATTCTGAGAGAGTAGGCTGGAGGTTCCACTTAAAATTGAAAGGACCATGATTTACCCCTACACATGTCTATTCCTGAACTAATTTCTGGCCAAGGGGCTGGAACTGCCCTCACTTTCCTTGACCCGATCATTGGGGCATGGGGCAGATGCTGGTTGGTTTTGTGACAAAGCTCTCCTCTGGCCTCTGTTTTAAATATTCTTTAGCCCTCTTCCATTCCAGTATTGGTCCATTCAAATCCCTTTGCACACTGGTACCAACCAGGATCTTTATTACATAAAAGCTATATCTTGGAGTGGTGGCCCATACCTGAAACCCAGCATTTTGGAGATAGAACTGGAATTATCTGGACTTGAAGGTCATCTTTGTCTACAGAGTGAGTTCACAGCCAGCCCGGGCTACCTGAAACTCTGCCTTTAAAGAAAAAGGACACACAAAGTTATGACTAAAATCCCGTTAAAAGCACTCTTAACATTCAGCAGCTCATGAAATAGACTCAAAGACCATATCTTAGAGGTTGTATCAGTGACACATGACGATCCATTCCACAACTTGGGAATTTGAAACAAGAATCATTTTTGTGTATGAGGCTGCAATTTGAGCAGCACTTGTGGGGCATAGGTAGCTTCTGTTATGCCCTGTATCTGCTGGGTGATTCCCAGGCTTTCCCTCACCTTTACTCTCTGGATGAATTACTGACACGTCTGAAAGCAAAGCAAGCCGATCCCAGTTGCTGGTGGGCTGTATGAATGTCTGACTGTTGCTCTCCGGTCTTTCTTTTGCTCTTGTTGGAACTCAGGTAATTTATATCAACCTCCCACTGCACTGAACTACCTAGTGCAACAGCAGAATCGAATCAGAGGCGTTGATGGTGTAACTGCAGAACCAGTGAGTGGGCTGTTTATCTACTGTTGGCGATGATGAGCTAAATGGGGGGAAGGAAGATGAGAGCAAGGTCAGGAGACAGACCAGTTTATGCTACAGACTATGCTGGACAGAGTTTAGTCTCTGCTGTGTGGAATGACAAGCTGGAAGTTTGGAAGAGATATGATGGCTGGAATAGATAGATAGAGATAGAGATAGAGAGAGAGAGAGAGAGAGAGAGAGAGAGAGAGAGATGATATAGATATAGATGATATGGATATAGATAGAGATAGAGATTGA